TGCGACAATCAATAAGCAGCAAGTCCAGCATAATGAAATCTGTAACATCAACTGATACATTTTGATGATAAACATGACATAGATTTTGGTTCAATTTTTCGTTCTGTTGTTCATTAACATTGTGTATTGAATTTGTGAGAGTTTTTGAAAGATGTTCAAGATAAAAAGCGCTATAGTAGCGTTCTGGAAAAAAATAATAAATATAAATAGTTTATCTTAAATGAAAGTTTATTCATTTTGATTTTCTAAAATCTAAATTCTCAAAACTCTGCGGATTTTGTTTGTGCGGATTCAAGTTCGTTATTTAAAAAACCGCCTGCAGAATCAAAGAAAATTTTTAAAATAGGATGGAGAATTTGTTACGGAATCGTTGGAGGAAATGACGTCATGCTAGCGGTATTCTATATTTAGTGAAATATATCCCTTCAACTTCCACACCAAGAGAACAAGCTTTTTCAAAATCTGGAAAACTGGTAGACATAAAAAGAAATTGATTGCGAGATAATTCAATTGAAGTTTAAATGATTGGATGGAATTAATTGGCAAATAAAACTTGTGTATATGTCCAAATTTAATTAAATTTTGAATATAATTTTTTTAAACTCGCTCGCGTTATTTCTTTATTATTGATATTGGGGGCAGTCATATATAAAGCGAGCAAAATTTTTATATAAAAGCGCTCATAAATCTACACATATTGGCTCAGCTTGGCTTGGCTTAGAACCGGATGTTAAGTAAGGTGTGGTCTCAGACTATTTGAAATTCTCCCAGAAAAATTTGAACTACGTGCGAACGTAACACTGATTACAGTTGCTTCTATAATGAATTTATATACTATATATATATATATATATATATATATAGCGAGCAAAATTTTAATATAAAAGCGCTTATAAATCTACGAATATTGGCTCGGCTTGGCTCGGCTTGGAAGTTAAACAAGGTGTGATCTCAAACTACTTTGAATTCTTTCTGACATATATTAATATATATAAACTAAAATCCATGTATACAAATAAATAATAATTAATAAAATTATATGTTTATATAAAAAGCAATACAGCGGATTCAACCAGCCAATCAAAAAGTTTCGAAGGCGTTCGTTCGATGACGTCAATTTAGTACGGTTAACATTGTTGTTAAGACTGTATAATAGAGCAGTACATACATTAAATAAGTTTTTTACTGATGAGAATGATCGAAATGATGAGAATGTATGGTTGAAACGAGTATAAATAGGAGCTGAGACAACATGAAAATCAGATCAGGCATTCTGCCTCGCTTGAAGCGGTCTGCCTGATCTCATTTATTTTATTTTATTTTTTATTTATTTTATTATATAGAGTTATATAGAGTTATATATAGTTATATAGAGTTATATAGAGTTTGCATGTCTGTGGTTTGTGTGTTTGTATTTTGTATTTTTTTTATATTTTAGGTGGGTTTTTTAGCGGTTGCTCGTACATACATACATACATCATGTTTGTTTGTGTGGTAGTATTTTATGTTCTGTTTTACTCTTTTTTCTCTTTCTTCATGAGTCTTGAGTTAAGTTAATTAAACATAGGTAGGTGAGATTGAGATTAATTTATTATATAGGTAGGCTAGGGCATAAGGTAATTTAGTTACATAGGTAGGTTAGGGACTTCTATTCTTTTACTCTACTTGGTGTGTTTTTTTGTTTTTTGTTTTGTTTTTTGTTTTGTTTCACACCATACATATAACAGGTACGCGGTGGTTCCTGGGTATAGTGGGATTTTTATTGACTGAATGTGGTAGTATGCATTGTTATATAGAGTTATATAGAGTTATATAGAGTTATATAGAGTTATATAGAGTTATATAGAGTTATATAGAGTTATATAGAGTTATATAGAGTTATATAGAGTTATATAGAGTTATATAGAGTTATATAGAGTTATATAGAGTTATATAGAGTTATATAGAGTTATATAGAGTTATATAGAGTTATATAGAGTTATATAGAGTTATATAGAGTTATATAGAGTTATATAGAGTTATATAGAGTTATATAGAGCATAAATCCTATATAGACACCTTTCTTTGAGGTTCTTTTCTTTGCCGACCGGTCGGCTTCATTGCGTTTCTCTATTTTCATTTAAATTAATTAAATAAATAAGATTTTTCCATTCATTTAGGTTCATTCAGCTTCATTCATTCAGGTTGAAGCTTCCAGAGGAGTTCATCGTGGACGATCAGAATGGTTGTGATGTCACGTTCGTTCATTCAGGGGCAAAAAATGCACGCCTGGCTGGGGTTCGTTTTACGGTTTCTTTGCGGCTCTTTTTGCCAGTTGGCTGGCTTTTCCGGCTGGCGAGTTTCACCGCGGCTCGTTTCTCTATTTTTATTTAAATTAAATAAGATTTTTCATTTTATTCATTTCATTCAGGTTGAAGCTTCCAGAGGAGTTCATTATGGAAGATGACAGGCTACGTTCATTCATTCAGTGGAAAAGAATGCACGCCTGGCTGGGATACGTTTTATTTTTTTTTCTCTGTTTTTCTCTGTAATTTAACATTAAGTAAGAATGCCCACACGCACACGCACACACACAATTACATTAAGTAGCTATATAGGTAGGTTAGATAAGCACAATTTTAATTGTAGGTAGAATAGATAAGAAGCATCCAACACTAATGTAGTTGAATAGGTAAGCGCGTAAGTTTATCTCTTCTATTTTTTTCTTACACCCACATTGCACGCATCAGCGTATTACACACACACACACAAATACATACATAAACACATATGTTAGTATTTGAGCGTAATTTTATTTTCATTACACATTCTAATTTATTATTACTAAGGTTGAGAGTAATTTAATTTTATAGGTAGTTAAGGGCAATAATGTAATTCTAGGAACAATCTTGTAATGTAAATTAAAACGCTGTAAGTGTATCGATAGGTAGGCTAATATAAGTTTTACATTATTATTATTATGTTGGAGCCCAAGGCATTACGTAGGTGGTGGGGTGGGCGCCGATTGGCTAAATGAATTGGGCTCTTGAGTTTTTTAATTTTAGGTAAGCTAGGACCGTAATGTAATGAATAGGTAGGTTAAGGCTACGTTGTAACACATACTCATTAATAGATTTAGGGTTTAAGTTTTATATTATTATTACTAAGTTGGAGCCCAAGGCATTACGTAGGTGGTGGGGTGGGTGCCGATTGGCTAAATGAATTGGGCTCTTGAGTTTTGTAATTTTAGGTAAGCTAGGGCTTAATTGTAATGAATAAGTAAGTTGAGGGTACGATAGCCGATTGACTCTGGATTTCAAAGTCTCTTGTCAGAGGTAAGCCTTGGTGGCCAGTGGTGAACCGGCAATGGTTTACTATCCGGACGGCAATGGTTTACTATCTGCACGGTAATGATTTACTATGCGGCACGGCCATAGTCTACTACCCGCACGGCTTCCGGACGGCAAATGGTTTACTATCCGCAAGGCAGTAGTCTACTATCCGCACGGCAATGGTTTACTATCCGGTGCCCTGGTTGTCGGTGAACCTCTGTGCAAGGAGGGAGAATGAAGGGGGACTTTCGACTATCGTACCATTAACAATTTAATATAGATTAGTTAAGGTAATTGAATAGGTAGATAGGATTATTTTTATTAAACAATTTGAGATGCAGGCACCGCTAAGCTTTCTGATGAGAATCTTCTCTTTATCTTTCTCTATCAACAACAATCTGGAGGAGGACTGGCACCAGTTTTGGAGGACAACGTAGTAGGAACCGGAAGGCACGGTAAGTTTTTTTTTTACAGTTTGCCCTATTATTTTATATTGTTTGCTATTATTTTTATTTTGTAATTTTTTGCTTCTACGATTCTAAAATTCATTTATACTACGCTAATAACAAAAAATTTGTCTACAGAATGATGAGAGGTGGGCAGTGGTGGGAGTCAGCACGTTTCAGATGGTGGTCTCATGATGGTGGTGAGGAAGAATCAGCTCGTTGGCTGTTCGACTGAAATTCTGCAGTTCGGATGACGTCTTGTGTGCCGACCAGATTACGGTGGTCGGTGCAATGGAGTTCAATAACGACAATTTGTTAAGTAAGTTTAGTTTAGATTTTTTATTTTCCTCATTCATTCATTTTTTCACTCAATCTTTACAATTATTCCTCCATTAATTCATTCTATTCATATATTGTTACATTGAATCATGGTTTGATTGATTGATTAATTCATTCATTCACTCATTTATTTATTCAATAATTTATTTGTTTGTTCCTTCGTTCTAACATTCATTTACGACTACGCTAAAAAAATTTTGTCTACAGAATGATGAGAGGTGGGCTGTGGTGGGCGTCAGCACGTTTTAGACGGTGGTCTCATGATGATCGTTCCGATGACAATTCGAAGAAAACATTACGAGAACGACTATTCGGTGCGTCTCAGATGATGGTCCGTGCAAGGGGGTTCGTCCGTAGTGAGTGAAGAAGTTTCTGAAGAGTGCACGCGCGCACATTTGCACACACACACACACATCTATTCAACACATACATACACAACATACATTCATTCGGTGTCGTTGTTGTTATGTTTCTCTTCAACTTTCTATCCTTTTTACCGGACTTTAATTTAATTTATAGGTAAGTTAGGGATTGAGATGAGTTGAACAATCGTAGGTAGGCCAGGGCTTAACTTTAGTTAAAAAGTTTCAAGTAAAATCAAAACTTTAAAAAATGTAAAACAAAATAGCTGATGCATGTAAAATTTGAAATTCAAATTTGTAGGTAGGTAGGTAAGTAAGTTGAGTTAATCATCATAGGTAAGCTAGGGCCCTGAGAGTAATTTAATTGTAGGTAGGTGACTGACTACTATTCTTGTGACTTCTTACTAGTTTTTTGTGATGTTTTTGTTTGTTTTCGCATCGCAACACCACACCAACAAAACACATTACTTTTTTTCGTCGTCGCCTTGAATTTTACCTTTTTGATCAATCTTTAGTAATGTCTATTTATTTATTTGTAAAATGTTGGCTGGTTTTATATTTTGGTTACATAATTTTTTGATATTTTCTGTATTTCTTTGTATGCATGTATAAATAATTTCTGTTCGGTATCATTATGATATGCTGTGAACCGTTTTTACTAATTGTTCATGTTACTTGAATCATTCTTCGTCTACGACTGACGAGTGTTACATTTGTTTGTTTTAAATCCGAATTTTTTTAAATTGACATTTTTTAAATTTAAATTTTCCGCCATTTTTCATTTTTGATGTGAAGTCAAATAAAAGCAACTGTTGTGTTTTTCTTTCCTTACTAAAATCTCAAAATTGTTTGTAGATAAGTACGATTAAATGTTGATTTGCGCTTAAGCAAGCCTTGCAAATAATTTTTTTATTGTTTCACCATAATTCGTTCGTTCATTTGGTTCATTCAATTTGGTTCATTAATAAGTTGATTGGTTGATTAGTTGATTGAATGAATGTTAAATGGCTGGTTTATTGGTTGATTGACTGATTGGCTGACTGACTGGCCGACTGACTGAATACAACGCCAAAATATTTAAAATGACGTCATTTCCTCCAACGACAACAAAAGAAATTCTGATTGACTGGTTTGGTCTGCTGTATTTGATATGTTTTTGTATAATGATTAACAACATTTGCGCGAAAAGTTTAATTTAAAATTTTTTCAAATGTCAAGGTCGGTTTCTTTGATGTGTTATTGCTAAATCAAAAAAATCATGTACGTGCGTGATAATGTATGTGTTTGTTTATGTGTGTGAGCAAGTTAGCAGGTATGTATGTGTGCGTGTTAGTGTTCATGAAATTTTTATATGTCAAGGTCGGTTCCTCTGCTGTGTTTTTTGTCTGATCAAAAACATCACGTATGTGGTTATGTATGTTCTTATGTATGTGTGAATGTTATCAAGTTTGTATGTGTGAAATTAGAAAATGGCAATGGTTTACTATCCGGTGCCCTGGCTGTCGGTGAACCTCTGTGCAAGGAGGGAGAATGAAGGGGGAATTTCGACTATCGTACCATTAACAATTTAATTTAGATTAGTTAAGGTAATTGAATAGGTAGATAGGATTATTTTTATTAAGCAATTTGAGATGCAGGCACCGCCAAGCTTTCTGATGAGAATTTTCCCTTTCTCCATTTCTCGGACTGTGTTTCAACAACAATCTCGAAGAGGACTGGCAACAGTTTTGGAGGACAACGAAGGAACCGGAAAACAATAAACATTCTACCTTCTTCGAATGGACGACGGTAAGTATTTTTACATTTTACTTTTTTTATTATTTTAAAATATTATTTATTTGACATTATTTTCATTTTATAATTTTTTGCTTCTAAAATTATAACATTCATGATTTACTACTACGCTAATAAAAAAATTTTGTCTACAGAATGATGAGAGGTGAGCAGTGGTGGGAGTCAGCACGTTTTAGATGGTGGTCTCATGATGATTTACATATGATGATGGTGGTGTAGGAAGAATCAGCTCGTTGGCTGTTCGACTGACACTTTGCAGTTTGGATGACATCTTGTGTGCAGACCAAATGATGGTGGTTGGTGCAATGGATTACAGTAACGACGATTTTTGAAGTAAGGTTTAGTATCGTTTTTTTATTTTTCTCATTCATTCATTTTATCACTCAATCCTTTAAAATTTTCTTCCATTAGTTGATTAATTGATTCATTCAATTCATTTATTAAATTATTGATTGATTAATTCATTTCCTCATTCATTCATTCAACCAGTCATTCAATCATCCAGTTAATCATTTATTTTGTTCCTTAATTTACCAACACGCTAATTAAAAAAAACTTGTCTGCAGAATGATGAGAGGTGGGCTGTGGTGGGCGTCAGCACGTTTCTGATGGTTGTCTCATGATGATCGTTCCGATGACAATTTGAAGAAAACAACAATAATAATAAATATTAACGGAAAATTCTTTGCCATCGTACCTTAGAAAATACTCGAATTTGAACAAAGGATTGGAATGTTTTGGAGTGGATTGTTACCTCAGTAAGATAAGTTGCCTAAAATACTTTTTTCCAATGGTTTGGTTATTATTTTAAAAATGTAATATGTTTTTTCAGATTTAGTGTTTTTCAGTATCCGGTCAAATTCACGATGCGTGTCAGATGATGGTCGGTGCAATGGAGGTTCGTCCATAGTGAAGAAGTTTCTGGAGAGTACACGACCGCACATTTACACACACACATCAATACAACACACACATACACAACATCCATTTTTCGGTGTTGTCGTTATTATGTTTCTCTACAACTTGCTATTTTCTTTACCGCACTATAATTTAATTTGTAGGTAAGTTAGGGATTGAGATGAGTTGAACAATCGTAAGTAGGCTAGGGCTTAACATTCGTTAAAAAGCTTCTAACAAGATAAAATTAAAAAAAAGTTAAATTATTCAAATAAGGCAAATTAAAAACGTTAAAATATGTAAAATACAATACTTGAGACATGTAAAATTCCTAAAACTTAGAAATACAAATTTGTAGGAAGGTGAGATGAGTTAATCATTATAGGCAAGCTAGGGCCCTGAGAGTAATTCAATTGTAGGTAGATGACTGACTACTATTCTTACGACTTTTTACTATTCTTTTGTTGTGTTTTCGCTTCACACCACCACACCAACAGAACTTACTAAATTTTATTTTCGTCTCCGCCTTAAATTTTACTCCTTTGAACAATTTTTTAAAAAATGTTTATTTATTTATTAAATATCGACTGGTTTCAAGTTTTTTTTTTAAATTTGGTTATATAATTTTTGGATATTTCTTGATTTACTTTGTATGCATGCATGTATAAATAATTTCTGTTTGGTTAGTTGATTTAGTCATTATGATATGTTGTGAACTGTTCTTAATAAATGTTCATGTTACGTGGGTTATTATCCTTGGAGAACTTCTAAGGAGTGCATACGATAATTCAAGCAAATAGTTGGTTGAAAATTGGGAAGGCTGGACGATTTAATTAGATGTTTACTCTGAGTTCTGACATATGTTTTAAGACTTATAATAATTTCTGACATATGTTTTTTAATAATTTGTTTTTAACGTTTAAATTTTTAAACTGTTTCAATAAAATTTAAATGCTTGGATGGATGGGTGGTTGGTTGAACATTCGAATTTGTTGGTTGCGTGTTTGGTTGTTTTGATCACGTCCATACTCACAATCATGCATACATACATGTATGTGTAAATGTGTGTGCATATGTGTGTTATACAAAATGTATGTGTAAAGTGTATATAATGAATGAATGAATTTGATTATGGTGTATGTGTTGTATTTCTCCACAATTCAACACATACACCATAACAAGGATTATGGTGATTCGGTTAATAACTCTGTCTGCCATACACGCCACTCGTTAAAATTTATCTTTAATTTTTTGGAGACTGTATAAGATCCAGGCGAAAATTAATAATAATAATGACAAAGGTTAAAGGTTAAAGGTCATTCTTCAAACTTCCACAGTACTGGGGAGCCAACGACATGCAAACATATCCAGGGTGTCGAGAGCAGCTCGGAGGTTTTTTTGTTTGATTGCGACACACTGCTTCGATCTACTGCTTGTAATTTTTCTTTATCCCGGTCGTTTTTTATTTGTTTTCAACTTCCATACATATTCTTTGCTTACAAATAACACAGTGACGTCAATATTATTTTATTTTACTTTCTAACAATCATTTTTTTTCCTATTTTTTAAACTTTTATTAATAATCAATAAATAATTTGTTTTTTTTAGGCAAAAACTGATTTTTTTTATCTTCGCATAATTTTAGTTGAAGTGAATGAGCCTAATTTATTGTCAAACACTGTAGTTTTAGAGTCGTTCGTGGTATAGCCCAGCATGATAGAATTCAGTTCATCTAATTCAGCGGAAAGCATGGATCGTTTGACGTGCTCAATTTGTATGGAAGTCGTCCGCCACCCAAAAGAAACTCCATGCGAACACACGTTCTGCCAGAAATGTCTGATGGATTGGATCAAAATTTCCCCAACGTGCCCCATCTGCAGGCAGCCGATGCAAGCGAGGGACGTCAAAGACGCACCAAGACGGCTGAAGTCCGAGCTGTCCAGTCTTAAAGTTCGATGCACATTTCACTCCAGAGGATGTGACGAAGAAATGGAGTTGAAAGATTTGAGTCGTCATGAGGAGGTATGCGGGTTCCGAGGCCCGAAATGTAGTCTAACAGGTTGCAAGAGACCTCTGCAACAACAAGGGCACAGTGACGAGCCGGTTCTCAAGATGAAAAGGTTCTGTGGCAAAAGATGCTTGGAAGATCACGTGACTCACAACTACATCATCGCTTACAGACACTGGACCGAGTGGCCCAATTTGAGGACACTTTCCAGAAGTAGATGAATTTTATTTGATTTGTGTGACGAATAAATTGAAATTCTGATATTTATTATTAACATAGGCTACAGTGACTCGAATGGGGAAAAAATTTTTTTCACGTCACTGAAAACAAATATTTTTCGGAAATTGAAAAAGATTGATAGAAGAATCACAAAACAGATGCAAGAATTATACCCGGGTAAATTTTTTTAAAAATATTTCAAGCATCACCACAAAGTTTTACAAAAAGTGTACCGAGATTTTCAAATTGCCTATTTTTTTAGATTCTAATTTAAAAAACACCCCTCACAAATTGTAAATATTATACCCAATGATTTGAAGATTCATCGATAAGACATCTCCACTACAGGCTCACCTACTGCGGAGGAATTGGACAAAAGATGGAACGTGTTGACCTCAGAAACGACGACCATTCTCAGAGAGTTGATGCCCGCCTCTGAAATAACTGTCGAATCTAATTGCATGAACGTGAAGGGAGCCATTGAGTCTATCAACATTTATTACACGCAGTTGTTTTCAGATGATCCTTCAGTTTAAGGTCCTGGTTCTGAAGTCTAAGATCCTGTAGTTTAAAGCGATTCAAAATGTTTTTTGTGTGAAAAATTAAAAAAATATAAATTTATAACGTTTTTAACTTTGAAAGAAAATAAAATCAGGACTTCACCGCCCCAGCACTGTCTAACTAAATCAAAATTTAAGTTTTGTTTGAACGACTTATAAAATCAAATGCTTGAATGTTTAACAACGCATAACTCTTACAACACGCGCGCATATAATGCTTTGGTGTTTCACATTTGTGATTTCCAAAAATTATGCATTTGAAATTTGTTGAAAAACTTCATTTTTAGTGTGTGGTGGGCGAATTTTTGTTATGCTATACACGCAAAAAGCTAACACCTACACACACCCACAACCACCACCTCAACTCAGTTATCGTTATAGCAATATTAATATTATGTACTTATATAGTGCTAAGTAAAATTATACATTCTTCATTTTAAAATAAAATTCATGCCTCAAACAATCATTCATACCATATGGCAAAACTTCATCGTAAGAAAAAAAAGTAATTTGAGAAAACCGCGAATCAGCACCATGATGTTCAAGAAACATGGCATCAAAGGAACCATGGAGTTTTAGTTTAGGAATTGAACTATACCTTTGCTAATCAGGTACATTAAGAATTAAATCTCAATATGTTATTATTGAAATTATACCATCGTCGTATATAACGTTTAATTAATTTTTAGTTATAAATTTGTAAAATATATGTAAAAATGTATGTTTATATAGAGGATGTAAGGATTTTAAAAATTAATTTTAATATCATTTCTATGGTTTTAATTTAAAAATATCCAGCGAAATTTCCGACTTTTGCTTACAAAAATAAGTTTCGAAGTGGTTTCGGAATGAAATCTCTCCGTAAATAAATATTTATTGATAATTAATAAATAATTAATTAGCTATTTTATGCATTTTTTAAAATACTGAGTTTCTGATTTGATGATTATGTCTTTATTTAATTTTTAATTTAATTAATTTTAATTTAATTTTAAAAAACAATTATCATCTTTAATCGTCTAATAATGCTAAGCTAATCTAATGCTAATGCTAATCTAATTACTTTAGCTGTTTAGCAATTTACTAATTTACCTAAAAATGAAAATGACAAAAACAAATGATTATTAATTATCTTCTCTGAGATGGGTGATGGTAACAGGAGGCTTCCAGGTTTGTAAAAGAAGGAAAAGTGAATTTAGAATTTATCAATGTAATAATTTAATTAATTTAGAATTTAATTAATTTAATTTTGCATTTAATTTAATTAATTGTTATTTTGTCAATCATTCGATCAATCAATCTATCAATCAATAAATTTTTTTACATTTTTTTAGAAAATTTTTTAGAAAATTTTTTCGATTTTGAACGGGAAAACAGTGAAGGGAAAAAGTCACATTCAAGTAAATAAACGATGATGATGATGATGATGATGATGATGATGGCCTTGATAATGGTGTTGGGGTGGGTTTGGTTTGGGGTGAGGTTGTATTATATGGAAATATACAAACTGATACACACACAGTACCAAAGAAACCGAATGAGTCAAGATCAACCGCTGAAGATGGTGATGATGATGATGATGGTGGCGATAAATTAGGGAAAGATAAAACTTTTTCAACTTCACTTAATGTCTCATCATCCTCTAGCCCCGCGATGGCAAAGGAATTCCTCAACTTCGATCCACATGATGATGATGATAAAAAAATCGGTGATGATGATGATACTAAGAATAGTAATAATAAAAATAATAATAATAATAATAATAACGTTAATAATAATAAAACCTCAGATGATAATGATGATAAACCCATTTACAATTATTATAATTATAACGGTGGTGATGATTATGATCTCAGTGATCCGTATTGTTATGATAAGAATGGTGATAATAATGACGAAAACGATGAGGAGGATGGTGATGATGATGGTGACGGTGGTGGTGGTGGTGGTGATGATGATGATGACTTACTCAGTGCTGAGAGTTGCAGTAAATATCCTTGGAAAGGTTCAGCAATGGTTAGTCATGATGATGATGATGATTGATGGTGATGATGATGATGATGGTTGATGGTGATGATGATGATTGATGGTGATGATGGTGATGATGATGATTGATGGTGATGATGATTGATGGTGATGATGATGATTGATGGTGATGATGATGATGATTGATGGTGATGATGATGATTGATGGTGATGATGAATGAATGAATGATCGAATGAATCTTTTTCATTATTATCATCATTGGCGATGATGGTGATGAAGAAGAAGAAGATGATAATGATGATGTTGATAATTAATTGGAGAAGAATGATGGTGTTTATTTAAGTTTTTGCTAAGTTTATTCATCCATTCATTCATTCATTCATTATTTCATTCATTCCCTCATTCATTATCCTGTACATGCATTTCAGGATTACAGTGTCATAATGCCCAACGAGAACGTTAGTGATGATGATGATGATGATGAAGATGGTGATAATGACGATGGTGAAGATGACGATGATGATTGATCAATTTATATCGATGATGATGGTTACGATGGTGATGATGATGGTGATGATGATGGTGATGATGATGGTGATGATGATGGTGATGATGATGGTGATGATGATGGTGATGGTGATGATGATGATACTTGTTATTGTCGTTATTATTAATATCATCATCATCATTTTCTTCTTCTTCTTTTACTTCTTTTTTAGCATCATCATCATCTTTTTCATCACCGTCACCATCTTCATCATCATCATCACAACCACCAGTCCAAATATTGGTCCAGTGTCAGAAGGGATTTAGAGTTGTTCAGGTCAAAAATAATTGACCACCACTATTTGAAGGTTGGATGGATAGACGAACGAACGATTGAATGAACGAATGAATGAAGGAACGAATGAATGAATGAATGAATGAACGAATGAACGAACGAAAAAACAAACGAACGAATGAATGAACGGATGAACGAATAAATGAACGAACGAACGAATGAATGAATGAATGAACTACAGGACTTCATACTGAATCACAGAGGAAGTGATTGGAGCAATTTCGAAATGATTCCGCATTTTTTTGTATGTATTTTTTTTGTTATCACCATCATCATCATCGCCATCATCATCATCAATACCACCGTCGTCATCGTCATCATCATCGCCATCTTCATCATCATCATCATCACCACTACATGCAGAAATATAAGGCTTATAATGATCAGTTGACGTTCATAGCAGAACTGGCTTTAAAACTACCTGAACTCTTTCAGAAGGTAGTTTCCGTTTTATCTCTCTCTCTCCCTCTCTTTCTCTTTCTCTCTCTCTCTATCACTCTCTCTCTCTCTTTCTCTCTCTCTCACTGTATGGTAACATAAAGATTTTATGTATTGTAATAATAAACATGTAATATGATGCAAACATTACAACCAGCCCCTGCCCCGCTTGGTCAAAGGTCAGGAGATGACCTTGACCCTGACCCAGCTACAGGCGGCTTGCCTCTTGGCCCATGCTTTCTTCTGCACCTTACATTATAAGAAGACGAAGAGTGACGGTTGGTCTTGATGATGACGACGATGATGATGACGATGGCTCTGGGAATGATGATGATGACGACGACGATAATGGTGATGACGATGATGATGATGATAATGATAATGATGAGGATGATGATGAGGATGATGATGATAATGACGACGAGACGATGATGATGGTGGTGATGATGACGATGATTGTTGGGGATGATGTTGATGATGATGATGACGACGAGACGACGACGACGATGATGATGGTTGTAGACGGAGATTAGGCGGGAAGAGTACTTTAACAACCCACACTGACTGACTGCCTGACACAACAAAACTCAACTGGAATAGGAATTCGATTTTTTGAAGAAACAAAATCTAGTTAACCAAAATACAAAGTTGAACATGAACACCTAACACGAACATGAACATGAACACTAAACATGAACATGAACACTAAACATGAACATGAACACTAAACAAACACAAAGGACCGGACTACGGTAGACGAAATTTAGGAAGAAGCGGTAGTAAGAGTGGTGGTTCAACTGGTGGCAGAGATAGGGGCAATTATGGTGGTAATTCTGCCTGGCCCATGGATCCATCGCAGTTAATCATGCCCACCATTAATTTCTGCAGGTAAGATATATGGTTTTGTATTAAGATATATGGATTTGTATCAAGTTGTATCAAGATGTATGGTTTTGTATCAAGTTGTATCGAGATGTATGGATTTGTATCAAGTTGTTTTTTGTGTTTTTAGTTGTTCAGATGGGTATTTCTTTAGTTGTATTAAGTTGTGTTACTGTTGTATTGTTTTAGTTCTTTTTTGTATTTGTATTAATTTGTATCCATCCATCGTTCGATCGAGTCTGCTGTTTTGTATTTAGCATACAGAACCCTGCCACATGTATCGTTTCAATTGACTCTTCTAGAATCATCCTACCTTTCTGATTGGTGTTCATTATTATTAAATTAATTTATAATGATCTAATTAATCTAAATTACACCTAGTTAATCAACAACAATAGCAACAACAACAATTATTACTAAGCCAACATTTTGCGCCACCAACATGGCCACCAACAACACCACCAAAAAACTTCACCACCAAAAAACTCCACCACTACCACCACCACCAGTTTATACAACCTGGACCAGAGGACAGATTTGGAGGTCAGCCTGCAGAAGTTCAAATGTGTCATGTACTACTTCAAAAGAATTTCAGAAAGCAACATATCAGGTGATGATGATGATGGTGATGATGATGGTGATGATAATAATGATGGTGATGATGGTGATGATGATGGTGATGATAATAATGATGGTGATGATGATGATGATGGTGATGATGATGATTCTTATAATGATAATGATGATGACGATGGTGGTGAGGTGATGATTCTCACGATGATGGTGATGATGATGTTTAGGATGATGATGATAATGATTATGATGGTGGTCATGATGATGATTTCGTTCGTCATTAGAAATGTGTTTATTGATTCTTCGAATCAGTCTGTGTTCTTCGTCTCGGGTTCAATAATGG